TTTCTGAGCCTTCTGATTGGTCGAAGTTGTCCTTGACAAGGTCATTTGTGCGTTCGTAGGTCGTTTCGGTTTGGGCTCCTATTCTTTAGAGTTGCCAATAAGTGTTTATTTCTTGAATACATGAGAAATGTAGCAGGTTTGAAACAGTGAATCGATAAGTGAATGAGGCTATCATTTATTTCTAATTGACGATCGATCACCACACTTATTTCACAGTGTACACAGACATAGAACAGACTTAAACATTTGATAATATTAGATGGTTGGAGGCAATCGGCAAGGCGTATTTCCAACCTTGAAGGAACAACTCATGCCCCTTCTGAGATTCGAACCCGCGTCACCCAGTGCCGCCTGCAATCAGAGACGTTACCACTGAGGAGCTATTCGGGATCGCGAGTGCTGATGAACGCCAACTAGCACGAAACCTCGGTCAAGTGAAGCTTCCTGCCGATGTGCACCGTGATGGTGGGCCACCTAGTAGAATGGTGGCCACATTACAAACCTGACTGACTGACAGAATTCAGTCTGCACCAAACAGCAAGGACTAGACACATCACACTAGTTACTAGTGTCCAATCAAAAGACGTAAACATTGCAAGCAAACAAAAAGTTGCACCATACTTCGGATGATTCTCAACGGAAAACTCAGTAAAGCGTTTGAAGTGAAGACAGACGTACGACAAAGCTGCCTAACATCACCGATAACATTTCTAATTATGGTGGACTGGATTATATGCTAGACTGTGAGGAGGCGAGAAGATATGAATACGTTGGATCAACGACAGCACACTAGATGATCTGGATTTAGCAGATGATTTATGTCTAATGTCACACAAACTCGAGGATGTAAGGGCGAAAACCAGCAAGTCGTCGGAAGAAGCAGTGAAGACAGGATTTCAAGTAAGCTTACAGAAGATATTGGTGACGAAGATACTCCGCCAACAACGGCAACAACAAGTCCCAATTACCACCAATGGAGAGAAGTCGTTTCTCCCAATAATCTAGGCAACATCGTTTCAAATAAAGTCAGAACAAATGAGGATGTCAAAGTCAGGATTTTTTTATTCCTTTACGTTCCCCAGTAGAACATAGGCTGCTTCAAGCTAGAGGCTTGAAGTTTCGGTAGCAGTGGTGTTTGTTTTTACGAGATGGGGTTGCTGGCCTCATCCTCAACCTTCCCCCATTACCAGTCTTACTACTGGCTTAGAAAGGTAAAGGAGTGCGGTCGGTCGGTTTACGACATAGAACTTTGCACATATGTGCGGCATTTCAAGTCGCCACACTCCATGTAGCACAAAAAGCAAGAGAAGAAATGCACAATATAGTCAGTAAAAAGAGGTGTGAGACAAAGGAATAGTAATAACGAGGAACAAAACAGTTTCATTGGAAATCATAAGTCACAACGAGTGGATGCATCTGCGCTAGCCATTGAGAACGATTTTGAGCCATGTCGCCAATTGTTTCCAACCATTGGTTTTTACCGTCCCGAGGACCCCAACCAGTCAGGAAGTCTACATCTTCCTACGTGGCTTAGACTAACTGTTGTAGATTTCACTGACCGGTGCCATGTTTTCGTTTGACCGCCGCTAGCTCTTTTCTAGCCTGGCCCTATATCAGCTAGCATTGTCCGTCAGTCGAGGAAGGCGATGACTAGGCATACGTAGCACATGTCCTAACCATCTCAGTCGATGTAATTTCACAGTCTCGTCGACTGGTTTTCCCGCCTTACCTAGCACTCGACGCCTAACCTCAATATTGCTCACCTTATTATACCACTTCACGCGGGAGATAGAACGCAGACACCTATGATCGAACACAGCTAATCTTTTCATGTCTTCTACTCTCAATGACCAGGTCTCACAGCCATAAAGGAGGACGGAGCGGACTGTTGAGTTGGTAAAGGAGTGCGTCGGCCGAGGATCGAACCCCTGACTATGTGCATGGTCGGCAAGCGTCCTAACCGCTGTGCCACCGACGCACCAAATTCAGGATTGGAAAACCAAAATCTAAGACAGGAAGTGAGGCAAATGAAAGAAGCTTTGAAACTTAATGATTACCCTGATAAATTAGTCAGAAAGTATGTAGGGAAATGCAAAATTAAAATAAATAATGATAGTAGTGATAGTGATAATAATAATAATAATATTAATGATGAAATGCATGTCAAATGTCCGCAAGACAACACCAACAATAATGAATCCAAATCATCAGTAGTAATTCCATACAAGGAAGAAATCTCGGAAACCACTTTACGGAGAATTCATAACAAGGTAGGGATAAAAGTGGCTGGCATTCAAACCACCCACAAGCTCAATTAGAAACAAGGTTTGTCGGTTAAAGGATCCTGAGGAGCCAATAAGACAAAACAATTTAGTTTATCTAATACCATGTCTGCAATGATGGTCAGGTCAAATACATAGATCAAACTAGTAGAACAGGGGCAGTCAGACTAGACGAACAAAAAATCTACCAAAATCTGGATTGGTTGACCCGGATAAGATAAGAAATCTAGAGAATAGTTCAGCTATACCGCTCATTACATGCAATTACACACAACCATACAATAGGACGGATGGGATAAGATGACAGTTTTAAAATCCAATGTAACAGCGGGGTGGAGGGAGAGATTGATAACAGAAGCTTTGTTTATCGAATCAACTACAAATACGTGTAGTAGGAATGATTCAACACCTGTCCCAGATATCTGGAAAATTCTACTACCCCAACGACTACAAATAGGACAGAACAAAGAAAACTATAAAACTCAAGTTTCGAAGTCGTGTGATTATAATTGATGGCATGATTATGAACAATAATAAATTGTTTTCGAAACATTGTCATCCAGTAAATAATACTGTTTCACAGTCTGTGTGATCCATCTAATAAACAAACTGATATGGAATTACATACTACCACAGTACCCGAGTTTTACACATATACAAACCTTCTTTACTCCGAAATCACTGCATTCAGCAATAAAGAACAAGATTCGGATTCTGATCAATACTAATATGAAGTCGCTCTGCTTTTCTTCAAAGACTTGGTATGGTCACAGAAAACATTTCGAACGGTCTCCACATATTTATCAACAACCTGCTTAGCTGAATACTGAATATTCAGATGGCGTGTGATGGGATTAGCAACAACAGACTTTGGCAAGGAATCATCGAAGAACTTATCGACCAAAAAATATGCAAAGGGAAGTGGAACCCAAGGATACCACCCAGAGAAGACAGAGATGACCATCACATTTTAACTCAAGGTCTGTGTACCTCTGTTGCGAAGTGACATTCAGGGAGGGACCTAATTTGCCACGAATCTTAGGCCAGTGTGCAAGATGGGTATAACGGCCACTGTATACAAGTTTGAAACTAACAATCCAGATGAATTACAGCTCAACTTTAAATACACCGAATGCAGACGATAAGTTGTATAGTGAAACAGCTATATGATGAATCTTTTACTAATAAAACTAGACTGTTTCGTCGGCCTTGTTGAATTCAACCCAACTACTCATCTCCGAAAACAGATAGTGATCAGACGCCAATTTTTATATTCTGAGGAAAACCAATTCACCGTATTAAATAATCATTAATTTTCAAGTAGTGGTTTTGTAGGGATTTTTGTTTGATTGCATGGAGGATTTTATCATGAGCCGACATCAGTTAGAGAACCACTGGGCCATTGGATCGGATCCCAGTGGCTCAATGGTCTACGAGCTCGCTAGCGTTGCAACCAGAAGGTCCTGGGTTCGAACCCCAGCGGGGTGGGTGCGTACTGATGAAGAGTCCCAAACCAGGTGGACAAAACAGCTGTCCAGTACTCCCAGGTTTTCCAGTGGTTCTCTAACTGATGTCAGTTCATGATGAAATCCTCCATGCAATCAAACAAAAATCTCTACAAAACCATTACTTGAAAATTAATCTGATGCTCACTAGCGACTGGCCCTATTCAGGCACTTAACCCGGGGTTCTAGTGGGAATTCGTGACCAGTAGGGTACAGCAGGTTGAAGATGAGGCAGTAACTCATCTAAGAAGACATTGCGCGAAATGGTCGCGCTGAGTGGTGAATTGGCAGAAGTTAGAATTCAAGGACCATTGGATCGGGTCCCAGTGGCTTAATCGTCCGCGAGCTAGCTCGCCTTGCAACCAGAAGGTCCTGGGTTCGAACCCCAGCGGGTGCGTACTGATGCAGGGTCCAAAACTAGGACGAAACAGCTGTCCAGTACTCCCTTCAGGTTTTCCAGTGGTTCTCTAACTGATGTCAGCTCATGATGAAATCCTCCATGCAATAAACATTACTCTGAATTACTCCGCCGAAAATAATTTTTTTCTTTAGTTATGAAAACACAAAATTCGTACACTACAGACACCAAGAGATGCACCACACGAAATCGCATAGTTTGTGTTGCAACGACAGGAATACGGTTCGGACACCCAGACCAAAACAGGTAGTTGCCCTAAGGAAATGCTCCCTCCCCCCGCCAAGTCAGTGACCTGAAATCTGATCCATAAAGCAGGGGAGTAGTGTCAGGAGCTACGTTCCCAAGGTTTCTAGTATCCGAAACAGGTTCATAAGCCATTCCAATCCATCGGATTCTGGAAGCCATGCACACACCATAGGTATGGAATCAGGGTTTTCTAACCCTTCTAGGCATACCTGGATGTCTACAAGTTAATCCTGCTGTAAACACCAGACATTTTCACCCGTCCTTTCACTTTTGTCAAGAACATCTTCGCTATGTGAAGTCAGTGAAAGGGACTTACTTACCTGTCGTCTCTGGTAGGGTATGAATTTGTGGACACATGAAAGCATTTCATTCGGAAGACCGAAGACTACCACGTCTCGGTCGTACCACACGGCGTTTACAGCGGCTAGGAAGAAAATGTTTTCCAGACGCCAATTCTCAATCACCAAGCGCACAGACAAACACACACATACACGCATACATAAGAAGACATAGTTTCACATAGAAAAACCAGCAAAAGAAGAAACCTAAGCTGGATTACTTTATATTTCTACATATATATATATATCTTCTATAATAACTGAAGTGTTTAAAATTCCACATAGGAAAGAAAGAAAGAAAGACGCCAACAACGACAAAAATAAAAGAAACTATAGGATGTATCATCATTAAGTAGAAAATCTGCTCTAAAAGTCAATAATACTCCAATGAATAAAATTCGCTAGTTTTTTTATTTTTTTCTATTTAAAAATGATTGAATGCCTTGTTTTGTATCATCGAATTGTAGATTTTGTACCATCGCTTCAGCAGCTAGCGTGTACGCCTCCATTAATGGCATCGAAGCCTAAAAATCAAGTAAACGGGGAAAGAAGAAGTTAGTTAGACAGAAGGTAAATGAGCACAGGAAGAGAGGGAGTGCAAAAAAATGTGAGATTTGAAAAACGTCTTCAAGCTGAGAGGACAGATTTGAGCAATGTTAACAAAAGCTTCCGGCATCTTTGAGACTACAAAGAAAAACCTAGACAGACCATCCCAGTAGCTAAAAATGTTATGATGTTACCACCTCATTGGTTCTTGCTAACATTGAGATTGATATGGAGACGCGGCGAGTTAGACACAGAGGCGGTGACCATGAATACCGCTTGAGTACGCCAACACAACATTAAACGACAGCTACCTGCTGTGCTCAACCCGCTCTACTTAAACAAGAACATACGACGACGTAAGCTCAATAGTCTATTTCAGTATTAGCCACAGTAATATTTTACGCAATAATGTATGTCAATTAGTCTATGATCACATGACCAATAAAGTAGTGAACGTTATTTCACGTAGGCCGATTGTGATTGGTTTATTGCCAGGCTGACCTTGGCCACTTTATTACCAATAAAGAATAATCCGTTGTCTATCTGCCTACATAACATTTTCACACAACTCAGACTTTACAGACTGCTTTGTCTTCTACACCACTGAAACTACTACACTAAACATTCACGTTATTTATGGTCTCACCTTCATATGTAGGTATTTAAATATCTGACTATCTACCTTGAGTTCTAGTGATACGTCGTAACCAGCGGGATTCAACAAGTCAGGTAAGAGAACAGGTTCTCGCTGATAACAGTGACTAGAGGTCGCGTTATATTTATGGCGAATTGACAGCAGTTGGAATTCATGGACTACTGGATCGCATCCCAGTGGCTCTACAAGGTCGCCTTGTAATTGCAAGGTATTGGGTTCGAACCCCGGTGGGTGGGTGCTACCGATGAGTCCCAAACTAGGACGGAACAACTTTCAAGTAGTACCTGGTTTTCTAATGGTTCCCAAAATGATGTCAGCTCGTGATCAGACCTGTAACCCTTCAAAATCTTCTGCCGTTGTCAGTGCCAATGTGAAATAAGGCAACAAAACTACTGCGCCCCCCCCCCCGGTTTCATTGGCAAGTACTTTCCGTAAACCCGACTTCGTGGACTCTTTCTCTTACGGATCACGAAATTTTATTAAAATTGCAAAAAATTCATCCCGTAGTCAGTAATCAGTAACTTAAGAATTAATTTTCAAGAGTTTATTACTATTTATTATTATTTTCTTGGGTTGCGAGTGGAACATATGGCCTCAACACCACATCTCCACTTTGTCCTGTTCCCTCACCGCTGTCCTCTTCAGCTGGCCCCTATCATTGCTTATAGTCTCTCATCTCTTTCTCACATGGTCTCCCCCATGTCACCGTCGAAGTGATGTCCGACTCGTTGTTTCTCATTCTAGTTCCACTGGAGATTATGTCTGATGCGCGATGTCACCCGACGGTCTCCTCAGCGTGTGTCCGCTCCATCCCCATTTTCTTCCGAATATTTGTTGAGCAATAAGTTCTCAACTGGTTCGTCCCCAAAGTTTCTTGTCGACAATTATTTCCTATTGGAAATCTGGTCTTCACTATGGAGCCAGCTAAGACAGTTGGTGATAAAAGTCTGCAGTAGCCTGTCGCAATTGCTTTCTCTGATGCGTAAGCCAAGATTTTGAATCACATAAAAGAACTGACTGACTTAACATTGCTATTGAAAATCCGAATCTTGTTTTTTATCCTGACTTCAGAAGACTTCCAGATTGATTTCAGAGTGATGAAAGTCTGTCTTGTCACCGCGACTGTGGTTTTCAGATCTCCAACTGTACTGTCTCATTTAGTCGAAACGATACTGCCTAGCCGGATAAGTGAAGGAAATGACATCTTTTGAATTTCTCCCGTCGATAGTGATTGGTGCTTGGTGTTGTTGCTGTTGTTGGTCGGTTGGTTGATCAGCTGGTTATCTTCATCACCTCCGTTTTCTCTATGTTCACTTGGAGTCCTGTCTTGGCTGCAAGCATCTTCTGACAACTTGTTGGTTTCTCAATGTAATTCTTCGAATCTATGTGACATTGGACACATATATATATATATATATTGTAGCATGTGTTACTGATAAGATTTATCAGTAGTGCGTCGGTGGCACAGTGGTTAGGACTCTCGCCGACCATGCACATGGTCCAGGGTTCGATCCCCTGCCGACGCACACCTGATATCTATGGTCGGCCTGAAAAATTTGGGCTACCGATATCCATGCTGAAAATTCCATACTTGTACCAAAAATACTGTGTGGCATCAAGCTGTAATCAAAAAATTAATTAGTACATAAAGAGACGTTCATCGGCACAAAAACATCAAATAACAGGGCGATAGTTGACATCAGAGAAGATAAATGATACAGCGTTGCGGAGATAAATTGCAGAAGTGAAAGGAACACAAATAAACACAATATGGAGGTAGGCCAGAAGTATCACAACAGCACGGAAAATCTGTGCAAATGGTGCGTGTGTTGAAGATAAGGTGTATATAATTTGGCCATACAGAGATACCGAATTCCAGATACACATTCCTTTACCAAGTCTTTCGTCTTCTACAGGTACAATATGTCTTTTTCCGACAAACTCATTCTCTCAGCCTCAGGTCAGTCTTCAATCTGCTTCAGTGAAGCAGAAGATTTTGATGGGGAATAGTGGTATTTACTAGTCAATTTGAGATGCCCACGGTGTTCGATGTCGTTGAAGTCACTTGATAATCCACTCTATCTCCTGATAAATCAATTAACTAACATATCAAATGTGAAAATCACTCATTGACTACACCTCACTTTATGTAGAGTGGGGGGGGGGGGTATCAATCGTGATACACTGATGACACAGCATCATATTTTGAGTAACAACATCAGTTCTGCAATCTACCAGTCACTGTCAATGAACAACAACAACAAAAACTCACCGGTTATGTAAAACAAGAAAAATAACCGATAGCTTACTTGTTTGTGCAGTGTCTCACGACCTAATCGCATAGCATCTTTACTATGCTGTGTAATTTCTTTAGCAAAGTCAATAGCAGCTGTATACAATTTATCGTCGTCAACTACACGATGAACAAGACCCAATTCATAGGCCCTATCAGCACTGATATTTTTACCTGCAACAGAGATTTTCGAAAAAAAAAAAATACAATTGATGGAGAAACAACAAAAGCAAAAATAAACTAGGAGTAACATATTACTACTGCTTGGCAATTAAGTTAATTGTTCTATCCCCCTTAATAATATATGTGTAAAACTTGGGCACTGTGGTAGTCAGTAATTCCATATTAGTTTGTTTATTAGATGTATCACACAGTGATGAAACAGTATTATTTACTGGATGATAATGTTTCGAACAAAATTTATTACTGTTCATAATCATATCATTACACAACTTCGAAACTTGAGTTTTAAAGTTTTCTTTGTTCTCTCCCATTTGTCGTCGTTGGGGTTGTCGAATTTTCCAGATATCTGGGAAAGGTGTTAAATCATTCCTAATACGCGCATTTGCAGTTGATTCGATAAACAAAGCTTCTGTTATCAATCTCTCCCTCCACCCTGTTACATTAGATTTTAAAACTGTCATCTTATCCCACCCTTCCTATTGTATGGTTGTGTGTAATTGCATGTAGTGAGTGGTATAGCTGAACTATTCTCTAGATTTCTTATTTTATTCATGTCAACTAATCTAGATTTTGCTAGATTTTTATGTTCAGCTAGTCTGGCTGCCCCTGTTCTACTAGTTTGACCTATGTATTTGATCTGACAATCATCGCAGGCCAGGGTATTAGATAAATTAAATTGTTTTGTTTTATTGGTTCCGCAGTGTCCTTTAGCAGGCAAAGCGTGTTTCTAATAAAGTTTGTGTGTTTGAGTACCAGCCACTTTTATTCCGGCATTGTTAAGAATTCTGCGTAAGGTTTACGAGGTTCCTTCCTTGTATGGAATTACTACTGATGATTTGGATTCATTATTGTTGGTGTTGCCATTATTCTGTGCATGTTTGACATGCATGTCGTCATCAATATTATTATTATTATTATTATCGCTATCACTACTATCATTATATATTTCACTTTTACATTTCCCTACATACTTTCTGACTAATTTATCAGGTTAATTATTAAGTTTCAAAGTTTCTCTTATATGCCTCACTTCCTGTCTAAGATTTTCCTTGGTACTACTTAGTTTTTGTGCTCTAAAAACTAAGTACTACCAAGGAAAAGAATGACAGTTTTAAAATCTAATGTCACAGAGTGGAGGGAGAGATTGATAACAGAAGCTTCGTTTATCGAATCAACTGCAAATACGTGCAGTAGGAATGATTCCACACCTATCCAACCAGATATCTGGAAAATTCAACTACCCCAAGGACGACAAATAGGAGAGAACAAAGAAAACTATAAAACTCAAATTTCGCAGTCGTGTGATTACAATTGACGATATGATTATGAACAGTAATAAATTGGGTTCGAAAGAAACGTCATCCAGTAAATAATAATACTGTTTCATCACTGTGTGATACATTTAATAAACAAACTAATATGGAATTCTATCCCCCTTGTTGATTGAATACATCCTAGAGAAATGTCCGGTCTCTGTTGATACATATCGGCACTTAGTACGGACACTTCAACGATATCTGACGGCTAATAATAATGCCGTTATTTATTGGATAAAAGACTAACAATGGAATCCTGGATGGAAGCTAGTATTGGGTTCTAGCCCAAGTGGGAACACTATCACTCACTAGCGGGATTTCTGGTACATCGCGCCAGCTGAGATAAATCTCAAATTTGCAAGTATTGGTTTTGTAGGGATTTGGTTTGATTGCATGGAGGATTTCATCATGAGCTGACATCAGTTAGAGAACCACTGGAAAACCAGCTGGGAGTACTGGACAGCTGTTTCGTCCTAGTTTGGGACTCTTCTTCTTCTCTTCCAAAAAGACATTGCGAAATGGTCGCGCTATGTCGTGAATTGGCAGAAGTTAGAATTCAAGGACCATTGGATCGGGTCCCAGTGGCTCAATGGTCTACGAGCTCGCCTCGTAACCAGAAGGTCCTGGGTTCGAATCCCGGTGGGCGCGTACTACTGAAGAGTCCCAAACTAGGACGAAACAGCTGTCCAGTACTCCCAGCTGGTTTTCCAGTGGTTCTCTAACTGATGTCAGCTCATGATGAAATCCTCCATGAAATCTCAAATTATTAGACGGAATGAACACCATGGCTAAATTCTATTGCTCGTTGCCCTTTTCCTAATAAAAAAAATATTAGTGTTATTCTGTATTGAACTGATTCAGTTTATTCGGGAGATTAATTGTCTTAAAACAACAACAGCAAACAATGATGTGCTAGTAGCCGTTATCCTAATAACCACTGGAAAAGGCAATTACTACTAATTTTTATATGATAGAATATATACTACTGACTGATAGACGAGTAGTTGAAAACCATGCGGATCAACTAGAGATGCTCTATGGCAGTTATATCGATCAAAGTGTTCTAGGCAACGAGTGCCCATTGCTGAATACTCATACCAATCAGTAATAATAATGATAATAATCTGCTTTATTCCAACAACAGTACTTATAATACAGAATGGAATTCTCAGTATTTTGTCACAATATTGCATCTGATTTACTCAAAATATAAATAAAATTAAAAATGAAAAAACAATTAACCAGAGGAATTCGTCCACATTTACGATATAAAGTCAAAAATATCCGAAGTACGGATTGAGGATATTAAATATACCAATAATAGTAGTAACAGTGAGTTTGTTTCAAACAGTATTGTCGATTCAGTTTGGAAATTTTAGCATGTTATAGAGTATTGAATCTAAAGTTCTGCTGATATAGTATAGTTAGGGGAAATACAAAATTAACAGTTATAACATAGCTTAAATGATGTTTACACTTATGAAAAAATAAACAAATAAAAAACAAAATATTGAGAGGATTATAAATATGAGAAATACAATAACAATAAAGGTTGATGCTGTGAGGGTGGAGGAAAAGGTTTATTTAGTATTGCAAAGAAGTTCAGTTAGTTAGTTAGTTAGTTCATGCCTAACACTATTTTCATCGCACAAAGCACGTGCCGTCGAATACGGTATAGTGTAATTTTTATACTTAGACGTACGTGCATAAAGTCTTCTGAAAAGACTTCTTGTTTTACCTGAGGAGGAGACACAAAGTTGGAGCTGCGGGTAGACTGGGTGCTCAGAGTCTGACAAAATTCCTTTAGCAAATTTGTTGCATGACCTCAAGTGCCCATCAGTGATAATGTCAACGATATGGCCCAATGGGATACCACCACTCATCCTACTGACCGACAGTCTTCAGAGTTCTACGAAGTATGACATAGTTTTTCTTTTAAGCAATCCAGGAATGGTATATACCACAATGGAATTATGCCAGCCTTTATAATGGCCATTTATGGTTATTATCAAGCAGATCACATTCGAAGAATTTTCCAGACGATCGACGTAATTCGTAAAATAGTAAATCCGATTCTTTGGCTACTACTGTGGTAGTGTGATACAGACGTGTTCCAACGGTGGAATATTATTCTCACATATTCCCACAGTTCAATACGGCATTAGCAACAGAATACTATATATTTATTTGAACATACCATTGTAACAACAGAAGACAAGAGCCAGGCAACAGATCGTTTATTAAGGAAAATCAACACGTATTTATAGATTTCAATGTACATTATTGTTAGTAGAAAATACAGTCTTTTGATTGGTTGTTTCTCACAGAAAGTTAACCTTGCATCTCTTTGTGGCTGTGTCAGATCATCCATATGCTAACTGTATCCGCCTACGCAAAGCCTTTGTTCTTATTTTCTCACCACCAATATTGGGGACATAAACACTGACATCAATTACTGTCTACCAACTTTGGGTAGCAGCCAGCCAGATGTCACGTGTGACGATGGATGTCCAACCTACGACAACGGCTGGAGTCGCGCTAAATCACGAATTGGTAGAAGTTGGAATTCATGAGCCATTGAATCGGGTTCCAGCGGCTGAATGGTATACGAGCCAAATTGCCTTGTAACCGGAAGGTCCTGGGTTCGAACTGATATCAATCCGTGATCAGGTCGTAAAAATAATTTTTTAAATAACTATAATGATTTCGAAATTTCCTAAAAAATTGGCACATCTATACCAAAATTCAGGATTTCTAATATAATTTTAACAGATAGATTTAAAGAGGATTCAATCATTGAAGATATTTCTGATTGTGGTAGGCTAGACCAAGTAGCCGACCGTGGAGGAGTAAGAAGACAGGCATACGTTGAAGCTACAGGAAGACTCGAGAAGATCTAGACTTCGCAGATAATGAGTATATGATCTCACACAAACTCCAAGACTTACAGGCGAAAACAAGCAAGTTAGTAGGAGAGACTGGCATCGACGACAGGACTCCAAGTGAACATAGAGAAAACGGAGGTGATGAAGATAACCAATCAACCAACAATAAGAACAACAACAAGCACCAATCACTATCAACAGGAGAAATTTGAAAGACGTCATTTCCTTCACTTATCCGGCTAGGCAGTATCGTTTCGACTAAATGAGACAGAATGGTTGCAGATTTGAAAACCACAGTTGGAGCGACAAGACAGACTTTCATCACTCTGAAATAAATCTGAAAATCCTCTGAAGTCAGGATAAACAACAAGATTCGGATTTTCAACAGCTATGTTAAGTCAGTCAGTGCTTCGATATGGTTCAAAACTTGGTCCATGCGTCACAGAAGGCATTTGCGACAGACTACTGCAGACTTTTATCAACAACCGTCTTGGCTTGCTCCATTGTGATGATCAGATCACCAGTGAGAAATAATTGTCGACAAGAAACTCTGGGGACGAACCAGTCGAGAACTTATTGCTCACCAAATATTCGGAAGAAAATGTGGATGGAGCGGACACACGCTAAGGAGACTGTCGGGTGAAATTGCACGCCAGACATAATTTCCAGTGGAACCAGAATGGGAAACAACGAGTCGGACATCACTTCGATGGTGGCATGGGGGAGACTATGTCAGAAAGAGATGAGGGACTATGAGCAATGATGGGGCCAGTTGAAGAGGACAAAGTGGAGATGTGGTTTTGAAGCCCTAAGTTCCACTCGGAACCCTAGGGAATAATAAAGATCATTATTTTTGTTTGGTTGGAAGATTTCATCATGAGTTGACATCAGTTAGAGAACCATTGGAAATTCAGCAATGAAGTACTGGGTAGCTGTTTCGTCCCAGTGTGTGACTCTTCAGCAGCACACACCCACCTGGGTTTGAACGCAGGACCTTCTGGTTACAAGGCAAGCTAGCTCGTAGACCATCAAGCCACAGGGACCCTACAAAACCAATACTTGAAAATTGACCTGATGCTCACAAGCGACTGGTCCTAATCAGGTAGTGACCTGGGGCTCTAGCGGGAAACCGTGACCAGTAGGGTGCAGCAGGTTGAAGGTGAGGCAGTGTCGTGAATTTACAGTAGTTAGAATCCATGGACTGGCCATTGAATCGGGTCCCAGTGGCTCAATGGTCTACGAGCTCGCTAGCCTTGTAACCAGAAAGTGCTGGGTTCGAACCCCCCTGGTGGTGGGTGCGCTCTGATGAAGAGTCCCAAACTAAGCGAACGAAACAGCTGTTCAGTACTCCAGTGCTGGTTTTCTAATGGTTCTCTAACTGATGTCAGTTCATGATGAAATCCTCCAACCAATCAAACAAACAAACTTTACAAAATCAATACTAGAAGATTATTACTTTTCAGGATTTCATCATGAGCTGACATTAGTTAGAGAACCATTGGAAAACCTGGGATTACTGGACAGTCGTTTCGTTCTAGTTTGAGACTCTTCAAGGGTACACACCCACCGGGATTATTACTTTTGTCTACCACATTTCTTGGTGCCTCTATTGTACCAACTTTGTATTATAATAATTTCAATAATGACAATAATAATGACAATATATACCACCTACCAGTTAATAATAATTCATTAGCAGCTCTTAAACCAATCGCTCGAACCAACGGCACGCCAGGTGTATTGCAGAATAATCCCAATTTAATACCACTAGCTGCAAATATAGCCGATTTAGCTGAAATGGCTAAATCGCAAGCAGCAACTAACTGACAACCGGCGGCAACAGCTGGACCATTTACAGCTGCTATCGATGGGACAGGCAATTCAGCTAATTCTTTCATTATCTGTTACAAAAAAATACACATAGGTTGAAATAAAAGGTAGCATTTATACCTCAGGTAGATGGATGTGGCTGTGTTCTCTGAACTGGATGGTTTCAACTGAGAAGCTTCCAGTGTCTTTCTAGAGAGGCAACAACAATTCTGCACAAACTTTAAATACGAATAAAGTGAAATCATTTGAATTCTCCACGAATGATGATATAATTGTATCCCCTGACAACCCTTGTCGTGATTGGCTGTTAATTTGTATTGGTATCGATCGGCTTTACTGACTTGGAATTCGACCTTTTGAATGAAGTGATTGTGTCTGGTTTGTGTGCAATATCTATTCGAAATGATTTACTGTCCTAACAGTCATCTCAGACACATTCTTTACTTCGAGTAGGACGAATTTCCTTGTGGTTTCTATGAATGGTTCCTTGCTGGTAGTTTCATTCGAGTTGAAATATTCGTTTGATGAAATTGTTAAGGTATCCATATCTCTTGAAGATATTCAATCAATATTTTTCTCATTACTGGAGTACTGAAGTGTGCTTAACCTCTTAGTCAAGAGGATAATCAGAGGAAATATAGAGAAACACATATATAGGATGTTAATCCACACAGACAGAATAAATACTCAAGTACAAAATCAATATTTCAACAGCGCACAAAAGAAACTGTGTACACAAACATTATTCCTCAAAAGAAAGACAGTGGAGTGTCTTCGTAATTGAACCATCCAGTTCAGAGAATGCAACCATATCAAAAGAAATAAATGTGTATAAAAGTAGACCTTTAATAATAAAAATTATTTCATAAAATATATGAAGTTAAATAAGTTGACTCATATGTAAAAGAAAATATGACGTTATTATTTGTATAATTAAATGGGGAATCAATAATTATATAGTTATTCCCTTGGGTACCTAATGGAACATAGGGCTTCAACAACACATCACTTTCTCCAATTTTCTGCCATCCTCCTCAGTTGGGTCCACGATTAACCAAAGTCTCTCATCTCTTCCTCAATACGATCTCTTCCATGTCACCCTAGGATGACCCACTAGTCGCTTCCCACTTGGATTCTACTCGATAGTTTCCTCAATGTATGCCTGATCCATCTCCATTTTCTCCTATATATTTGTTGAGCAATCGGCTCTCGCCTGTTGGTTTGTCCCCAACCAGAGTTTCTTGTAGCTAATTCTTTCTGGCCAGTCGGCTGGCCATTTGATCTTTAGTATGGAGCCAGCCAGAGAAGGCGGTAGCTGTTGATAAAAGAGTGCACTGGCTGGCCTATTGGAAATGCTTTTCGTAACATACGCGCAGTGCAAGCTTCTGACCCATATAGAAGAGGTGACTGACTGACTGACTTCACATTTGTGTTGAATAGAACCCGAATCTAGTTGTTTATGCTGGCTGGCTGAGTGAAGCAGAAGATTTCCAAACTGGTTTTATCAGGTTGATGAAGGAGTATATTGCCTTTGCGATTCTACCCGGCTGGCTGGTTTTGACATCTTCATCTGTTCCACCGGCCTGTGGTTGAAACCGTGCGTCCTAGCAAGATAAGTGAAGGAAGTAACCGGTGTTAAATCTCTCCCGTTGATAGTGATTGGTTCTAGTTGTTGTTGTTATCGGTGGTGCGTGGTTATCTTCATCACCTCTGTCTTTTCTATGTTTACCTAGAGTCCTGTTTTTGCCGCAAGCCTCCTTCCTCAGCCAGTTTGTTGGTTTTCGCCTGCCTCTAAGTCTTCGAGTCAGTGTGAATGACATTAAACATAAATTATACACACACGAAATCTAGATCTTCTAGATGGAGTCTTCTTATCGTTGGTCCAGCGTATTCCTGTCTCCTTGCTCCCCACAGTCTGACGCATAATCCAGTCCACCAAAATTAAGAATATTATCGGTGATAATAGACAGCCAACCCTGTCTTACTCCTGTATGCACTCCGAACGCCTCGCTGAGTTTCCCGTTGTTGATCACCTGACACATAGTAGGCATTTTCAAATAGCTAGCACTGCACGCCGTAGTGTTGAATTAGTTTCCGAATTACTTCTCGGTCAACGATGCCTGATGAAAGCCTTTTTGAAGTTGAGGTAGAGGTTTGACTGCCATTCTAAGCTTTGTTCGATGACGATGCGTAGAGTTGCAATTTCATCAGCACATGATTTTCCTTTTCTGAATCTAGCTTGTTCCGGTGGATGGAGTTCCGCATCCCGCAAATCTTATACTCTCTCCAGAATGATGCGACTTAGTATTTTGCTTGGCGTGGACAAGAGCCTAAAATAACTGCACGATACATTGTTACCCCATGAAGACACCGACAGAAATGATTTGAAAACATTGACTAGAGCTTTAGAACCGCTTACTACATTCAAAGAAGTTTCTATTTTTTACTCTACAAGCTTATTTTATTTGCCAAAAATCTCATCCTTAGCCTGCGCTTTCTCTTCCAATGCCGGGTTCGAACCTAGAACCTTACGGTTACACGGCGACCTCGCAGACCATTCAGCCACTAGGATCCGACTCAATGGTCCATAAATTCCAACTTCTGTCAATTTGCGACATATATACAGAGCAACCGCAAGCCAATGTCACAGGCGAATGACCACTGATCACGACTTCTCACTAGAATTCCATGTAACTTCCTGTAAACAGCCAGTCGCTATTGAACATCAGATTAACTTCCAAGAGTTCGTTTGTACGGATTTGATTGGTTATAGCTTTGATTAAGAGCTGGCATCAATCCAGCAAGTTAGGTAGGGGAATAGTTACTCGCCGTTGATACTGGCTGACGGTTGCGCCATATATATATATATATATATATATATATATAGGGTGAATAGGCAGAAAATGGGATTTATAGGCCATTGAGTCGGGTCCCACTGGCATAACCGGGAGGTCCTGGGCTTGAACCCCGATGGGTGGGTGCTGATGAAGAGTCCCAAACTAGGACAACCACAAAAAAGCATGTTGAAAGAAGACGCCAACATAATCATAGGACTAATTAGTTTCCCATAAATATCAACCCGAAGAAGACATTCTGTGATTAATTTGCAATTGTGAAATGTAACACTTTGACTTGTTTTTATCTTATGTTATGTGAATGTCTGTCTGTCTGGATTCAACATAGAACTTGGCACCGAAGTGCAGCAGTTCGAGTTGCCACGTTCCAAATAGCACACAAAGGTAGACAAGAAAATGAGTGAAGAGAATCAGTAGAGTTTTGACAAGTATAAGAGTGAAACAGAATGAGTAATGGTAGAAAGGAATATAAAAGATTACAGAGACTGAATACATCTGCGCCACTGACAACGATTTTGAGCCATGTCACCTATTGTCTCAAGCCATTGATTCTTAGAGTCCCGAGGGCCCCAATCCGGAAGTCTGCATCTCCCTCCCTACCTGACTCAGTTTAACTGTCAGGGATTTCATGGATTGATGAGGCCATGTTTTTGTTTGGCCACCACTTACTCTTTTCCAACCTGCACCTATATCAGCTAGTAATGCCCGTCGGGGGAGGCGATGGTTAGGCATGCGCAGCACATGACCTAGCCATCTCAATCTATGTAACTTTATAGCCTCTTCGATTGATTTCCCCTCTTTGCCCAACACTCGACGCCTAACGTCAACATTACTTACCTTATTATACCACCTAACGTGAGAAAGAGATCGTAGACATCGATGATCAAAAATGTTATGTGAATAATCGTATCTATTTGCACTTCATCCTCCCACAATTTAAAAATAAAAAATCTCCACCAACATAAGGATATAACATCAAAAGTGAACGATAAAATACAAACTTGCTTACTTTTACTGCCATTGAAAAAACTTCCTTAGGATTAACATCCCGCAATTGAACAATCTCATGAAGATTATGTCCAGCCGAAAAAAATCTTCCCTCACCAGTAATCATTAAAGCTCGAATACTTTTAGATGATTTAATTGATTCCAAGAAAGAGAGAAACTCTTTCATTAGAGTTAATGAAAGTGAATTGGCGCTTTTAGGATGATTCAATGTTAAAATTTGTACTTCATTATCGATTACCTCTGATTTAACATGTGAAGACTATTGAGGTGTGATATAGATTGTATTATAATATTATTAAACAATTAGATAAGCAAACCAAATATCTGATTGATGAGAAACGAAGACAGGATGAATACACCTTTGCTAGTTTGACTCGAAATGCGCAAGGTGAATACATTCTGCTCTGGTTGTGCGGTTTAGTGATGTCTAAATAAAGTAGAGAAAATATTATAAATGAGTTGCAGTATATATTTTTAACCAAAATTTTAAAAATTTATAAACATCCGAGAGAAAGAGCAAAGAAAACTGACACAAACTCTGGTTGAGAAAGTTTATAAGGAGATATAAGATGGTTAGAAGACCAAGAACCATTTTCCAACTAGTTGCTAAGAAGGACGTTTATATCACACTATCCTATATGGGTGATCATAGCAGCTTGGTGGCTAGACAAAGATTGAACGCTGAGGTTAAAAGGACTTTTTATGCAGCTAACATCTGAATAATTGAGAATGTGAAACCGATATATCTATCTAAGGCCTTAGAACATACGAAAAATGATATCACGTCCCACTGTGTCTACCAATTTGAATGTGGGTTTGGCTTCAGAAGCATGTGGAATCCTGTAAACCCATTGGCGATGAGAAGAGACAACCTAGCTCTTCAATTGAGAAACATATTATAGAGACACGACACAAAAATTGGTGTTCACACCTCTTTTAAACCTATCTATAAAGCGTGTTTGGAGTGTATCCTAAAGTTTGTGTGCTCAAAAACAATTCGTTATCACATTAAATCTCTCTTGGCAAACTTCACTGCAATGCCAAAACAGAGGTGCTATTACCTCCCTTCTTCGGTTTATTGATCTCCATTGTTATTTTGATCTTCAGTATGGCCTTTCAACTTAATCTATGTCTATTATCTCACCCCTTAACGCTTTATTATTTTCATATATATTCCTACGGCAAGTATATGTGTGTGGTCAGATTGTTTGAAGTATGCTGCGCAGATGCATTACATGATTCAGATGAATTGTGCCTTCTTATCACTTCATCGAAAGTCAGTCTCACTTTTCCCGTTGATGGAATGCATGGTAATGTCACTTGGTGGATGGTGACTAGCAGTGGAATTCAGAATACAAACTTCACCCCTCTTAGGACTCTTCATTTGCGTGTTCCTACAATCCCCACAAAGTCTCAAACCCAGAACCCATCGTCTCAAATGCCACTCAACGACCTCAGTAATTTATTGGATAACGCTTTGGCGTTCGAGGCAGTTTCAGTGGGAACACCACAACTCACTGGGGATTACAAGGACATCCAGTTGACGAGTCTCAAATAGGACAAAGTGTGCGATCCTGGATTCTACTGCTAGTGTCTCCATCAACCAAAAAGAAAACGAAAAAGTAAACTGTCTGTCTGTCTGTTTTCGACATAGAACTTTGCACATATGTGCGGCAGTTCAAGTCGCCACACTCCCTCCTTGTAGCACACAAAGCAAGAGAAGAAAGTAGGAGAAATGTATATTAGAGACAGTAAACAGAGGTGTGAGACAAAGGAATAGTAATAACGAAGAACAAAATAGTTTCATTGGAAATCATAAGTCACAAGGAGTGGATGCATCTGCGCTAGCCATTGAGAACGATTTTGAGCCATGTCACCAATTGTTTCCAACCACTGGTTTTTACCGTCCCGAGGACCCCAACCAGGAAGTCTACATCTTCCTACGTGGCTTAGACTAACTGTTGTAGATTTCATTGACTGGTGCCATGTTTTCGTTTGACCGCCGCTAGCTCTTTTCCAGCCTGACCCTATATCAGCTAGCATTACTCACTGTCGAGGAAGGCGATGACTAGTCGTGCATGTGTAACACATGTCCTAACCATCTCAGTCGGTGTAATTTCACAGCCTCGTCGATTGATTTCCCCTCCTTACCTAGCACTCGACGCCTAACCTCAATATTGCTCACCTTGTTATGCCACTTCATGCGGGAGATAGAACGCAGACACCTATGATCAAATACAGCTAATCTTTTCATGTCTTCCACTCTCAATGGCTAGGTCTCACAGCCATAAAGGAGGACGGAGCGGACTGCTGAGCAGTACACACGCCCTTTGGTCGATAGTCGGATATCACGTCTACGCCAGAGACGGCGTAAACTAGCATATGCGAAACTAGCCCTCTGTATCCGTGCTGAGATTTCGTCAGAGATCAACCCGTTGGGGCTGATGGTACTTCCCAAGTAAGTGAAGCGGTCAACGTGCTCTACCACTTCACTTCCTATTTCTAATCTAGGAGTCGGTGTAGTCCAATCCTGTAGAAAGTAAACTAATTATGTCTCAGTCGTAGAGTAAACCTGCTAAGAGAACTGTTCAACCTTGACTTCACAGTAATACTCAGTAATTATTGGACAAAGAATGTAACCACACATAATAAACTCATTATTTTCTATTAAACCTTTATCGTTCGTGAAATAACCGTATGCCTTATCATTGACAGAGAAATTTGAAGGAATTCATCTCTTTCACTTATCTAAGCAGCATCATTTCAACTACAGGCAGACGGTACGGATCAAGGTGTCAAAGGCAGGTAGGATCGGCAAACCAAAATAGACATTCATTACTCTAAAATCACTGTGGTAACCTACCACACTCAGCACAAAGAACAAGATTCGGATTTTCAACACTAATGTCAAGTAAGTTCTCCTGCATGAGTCAGAGACTTGTCATGAGCGTCACGAAAAGCATTTCCAACAGGCTACTGCAGATTTCTACCAACAGTTGTCTTTACAGGCTCCATATCAAGGACCAGATGGCTGGACTGGAAAGGATAGGCAACATGAAACTCTGGAAACGAACCAACCAAGAAACTACTACCCAAATATGGAGAAAGAAATGGGGATGGGTTGGACATACGTTACAAAGACTGTTGAGTGACATTACACCCTTGAATGGCACCCAATTGAGAAAGGATGAGTTGGGGGTCGCTTCAAGGATGACATGGAGGAGGTAATGTGAGGAGGAGGAGATGATAAAGCTTATGAGCTACCGCAGAGCCAGATGAAGGTGACTGTAGAGAACAGGGTGCAATGAAGATGAGCTGCTAAAGCCCGATGTTCTACTCAAAACCCAAAAGAGTAACAATTATAATAACAAATTATCATCAAGAACTTATTCATTTATCAGTCCATTTCATCTATTGGTAATGATGTGAAATTCAGCTACCCTTATCCGACCGATAGCTGCTACCTTGACGTGGTGGTCGGGCTTGCATATCGCAACAACCCAACGAGCCACATTGGCAGGTCTTACCATGCCAGAAAGGTTGTTAGAATAGGGATTAGACTAAAAGCACTTACCGGCATAGTGCAACATGTTTCCACTACGCTGGAAGTCTGTGTGTAGAGTTGTACTGCCGGGGAACAGGGGTGTAACAGCAGTAAGGTGTTTCCATCAAATGACCAGCATGCCGCCTCCCCAAATATTGTAGCCAGAAGTAAGTTCATAATACACAACTCTAAGAACCAGTTCAAACAGGCCGTATCTGACAGGCTTCTACGGTCACGTAACATTAAGTCCCTTTCTGTTTCAACTACCCCAAGAAGAGAAATGCAGTTCAACTACACTTAAAAAAGGCAAACAAAACTGTAACCTCTTTTTCTGGTATGGTAGGCCTAACTTTTTTAAAACAACTTCAAAAAGAAGCTACACGTCTCTTTCGTCCTATGAAACTGTAAAACACAACAGTCGTGATCAAAAAAGAGTGAGAAGGTGTAAGGAAACAGGTACAGCATCTTAAACCAACTATTCATCACATGTTGCTTCGTACAAGAGGATTATTAAAAGACTGATCCGTATTAGACAGCAAAAAAGGCGTACTCTGACACTGAAGTATAACAAGAAATGCAAGCTCTATAAAAAGGTTTAAAAGTGTACACTGATTACCCACCCAACCAGCAAAATAATTTCAAAACGACATCACAATAATCTCTACAGAATGAAACGAATCATTCGCAAAATATTTTCCATCAAAGTCAATATCTTGAAAGAATTTTTGTAAGATAAAGTCACCCATTTTGGATTTTGATTGGATACTTTCATATGAAGAAACGTGAAAACGTCTAGCTGAATTATTTATTTTTGTCACTTTAGATGAGAGACATCGGTGGTTCAGCGGTAAAACGCTCACCGACTACGCCTCACGTGATCCGAAGTTTGATCTCCCGCCGACGCACTCCTAAACATGACGAAGCCAGTAGTAAGGCCGGTCAAAAGAGGGAAGGTTGGGCGTAAAATAAAACCACTGCTACCGAAACTTTAAAGCTCTAGCTTGAAACCCTATTTTCCGATCGGAACGTAAAGGAATAAATAAAATGTGAGAAAAACTTTAGATGCGAACAAATCAGTTTTGTAATACAGACAAATTAACCCAATGGTTTGTATAAGGGAGGGTTTAACTTATAAAACAACAACTAAAAGCTTAGGGACAAAACTTCTGCGAGACAATTTGAGTGAGTTAATTCTGCTTTGGATGTTTACTATGTCTTGGTTATTGTTCTAATAATAATAAATTATACACATCAATTTCAATTCTTGTTGCCGACGTTGTGATTTATCAATTTTTATAGTGACAACCACTCAATGAAAAGATTATATAACTATATGGAAAACATATAGCTAAAAATTAGGAAACATCGGTAAACACTTACAATTGATCAACTCACAAACACAAGAAGAGGTTTGACTGGTAATTTATTCCAAATACAATACAAATTATGCTGACGGGATTCCTAGATATTGCCAATATTCATTCAAAAGCTCACACAACTCTACGTAGACCATAATTAATAGTTTTTTCTGACAGGAACTCAAGTTCCAAATGAAGTTATTGCTCAAGAAGTCATCAGGCCTACCGATGAGATGTTCACTGTCATGTATGGAAACTTAAAGAATACACAGGAGTTCGCAAACAACCTTGTCTAATTTTCAAGACGACACCTCAACACCTAGACAGCCATATTTCTTGAAATCGCACTTACTTACTAATTAGTACTCTAATCTTGGAACCACTCCAGAATGTTCAGCTATTTCAGCGTGAAGACTTTTAGATCCCATGCACTATTTTACGTGAGATTTCATGTAGTAAATATAGCACAAGGAGTAATTCAAGCGCAGCTACGCAACAAGGTGCTTTTGACATCACATCTCCGCTAACAATGATTTCAATGTCCATATGCTCAGTAATACAAAACAACATTCAGACTCAAACTGATTTCTGACACAAGACACACACACAAGTAGTCACTTGACAAACTTCGCACATTGAATTTTACACAAAAATTAACAAGCCTGCAATCCGAAATGCAGCAACCCTAGCTGACTGGTCTGTTAATACACACTAGACTATCGAGGAGACTTGGATGGGATTTAGGAATACACTAGAGTGCGTCACTGCACCCTTTGTACTTTGGTCTACGCCTCGAAAATTATCTCATAAACCACCTTGGATTAGCAATGAAATAAGGAGGTTACTAAGAAAACGAAAGAACTTATGGGACCAGTTTGCTTTAACTGGGAGGGATGAGTTTCGGGTGGAATACCGCAAAGTTCGAAACCTTTGTATGAGATTGACAAAAGTCGTATAGAGTATGAGAGACAGCCAGTACTGGATTGTGTGCATTATCCAAACAGACTGTTCTCGTATATCGAAGGCAGAACTAAAACTAGTAGTGGCATACTGTCCCTCATTAGCAACACAGGAGAGGCTGCCGAGTCAGACGAAACAAAAGCTGAGGAGCTCTCCGAATATTTGTGTGATGTTTTCTCACCTAATCGTACCACCCAGGGGTGTAGCGAGGTAACTGATGTAGCCCCTAAAATGCCCCCAATTGTGGTAGATGATGCAATGGTTCTGAAACTACTGTCTAGGTTGAAGCCAGGTAAATCACCTGGACCAGACGAACTTCACCCTAGATTGCTAATCTCCCTGGCGGATATAATATACATTTCACTTACGGAGATTTTCCAGGTGTCTCTAACCAAGGCTAGGCTACCCAGAGACTGGGAAGATGCTTTTATAAGCCCATCTTCAAAGATGGGAACAGGAAGTTAGTATCTACCTACTGCCATGTAAGTCTGACCTGCATTATAGCAAAGGTGTTAGAAAAACTCATAAGGGATCAGCTCTTAGCTTATACGGAAGAACATGGCTTACTGGCAGTGGAACAGCATGGATTCTGACCAAGACGATCCTGCTTGACAAACCTAGTGTTAGCTAGGGAAGATTGGGTCGAGGCCAGGGATAAAAACCATCTACTGGATGTTGTATTTATCGATCTTAGTAAAGCATTCGATAAGGTATCCCACTTAGGTCTTCTTAGTAAACTTAAACATTTTGGATTAGACCAACGCTTGTATGAGTGGTTTAGTGACTACCTGATGGATAGGAGGCAGAAGGTTAGGGTTAATGGTGTACTGTCAGGGTGAAAAGCAGTACTAAGTGGAGTACCTCAGGGAACTGTACTTGGCCCCCTGCTATCCTTATTATACGTAAATGAAGTGCCAAAAATTCTTACCTCATCTTCCTTACTATTTTCGGACGATATTAAGATATGGAAAACCGTAAATACTAGCGATGATAGGTTGGTACTACAAAACGATCTAGACAAATTAGCCGAATGGGCTAACCTTTGGAGTCTGGAAATTAATTCCAAGAAAAGCGCGGTAATGCATCTAGGTCAGAAGTCTTACACGTCGTACTCTATGGGGGACACAGAACTGCCAGATGTTAGGGAACAAAAGGACTTAGGAATTATTGTTAGCCATGACTTAAAAACAACGGTAAACTGTAATCGAGCCGCAGCTAAGGCTTTTCGAATGCTATGGGCACTTCGAAGGGCTTTCAAACGATTAGACGAGGGTATGTTCCAAGTACTCTATGCAACATATGTCAGGCCTCATCTAGAGTACTGCATACAAGCGGTGAGTCCATGCTTCAAAAAGGAGGCACATACCCGGGAAAGAGTACAAAGGATAGGAATGAAATTAGTTAGTGGTAACTCACAACTTCCTTATGATAAGAGGATGGAGCATTTAAATCTCTTCCTATTATCATACCAAAGGAGGAGAGGCGAGTTAGTTTTGGCTGACCGTATATTCAAGGGTGATTTAGGGATTGACATATCAAACCTTTTCTCTCCCTCTAGGATACATTTACGCGGTCACCAGAAGAAGGTGCTCAAACCGAGGTCGAATAAAATACGTTTGGAGTTTAGATTCTCTCACAGAGTCGTCAACGACTGGAACTCCTTACCTGATTCAGTAGTAACAGCTCCATCGGTGAACGCTTTCAAAGAGAAACTGGATCTCTGCAGAGATATATATCGCGAGGATTAACATAGGCGACAAGAACCTTCTATCCTTATAATCTGAATCTGTTCAGCAGTTCGACATGTGACATCTTTACAAAGACAATATCAAAATCAATAGACCATGTTCCGTAGCAGCTTACTATCGCTATCCTATGCACATTATCTACTAGACAAGAATTTCGTTAAAAGGGAGTGTTTAAGTTGAAGATCGTCTTTTGTGGTAGTGAGCTGTGTTCGCACACAGATAAGCAGCCCAAAACGAAACTACCTCTAGCGACCAATCAGATGCGCTAGAAGTAGAAGTGCGTAATTTGAAATAAACGTCTAAACACAAGTAATGCAATGTTAAATACTGGCTACATATGATAGTATTATTCTATATGTTCCAAAGAAACATCCCAATTTCTCACAGCCCAAAACAAGTCCACCTGGTGAACGCACTGATGACCTTGGTGAATTTATGTGCAGAAAATGGTTTAACCTGACTAAGAGGACTCCTAGGAGAGAGAAATTGGGATGTTTCTTTGGAACATACTATTCTATGTATCTAGTATTTAACATTGCACTACTTGTGTTTAGACGTTTATTTCAAATTACGCACTCCTACTTCTAGCGCATCTGATTGGTCGCTAGATGTGGTCTCGTTTTGGGCTGCTACAGTTTAGTCACCACTTTGGTGTCTATTATTTACTCTTGCCCCATAAACTGCTTTGATTGTTCCTCTTCACCAATCGCTGAATAGCACGCGCACAGAATCCAAAGGACGACTCTTGAGGTACTGGAAATAAATCAGGATTCTAGCGATAAATGGGTCACGAAATGGCATACAACAGTATCAATGAATTTATGTATATTAGTGGTCTCCGCTAAGGCTAGGGATCCCAATAACAAATTGGGAGATACTCCTGACACACAGGTTACTATCCTGTATTATTACTTTATCGAATTTACACTAAAACAGCCACCTCGGACGACCTCACGGTAGACTCTGAGAAACTAATAAGAATTCAGATTTAATGAAAGTCGTGCAGTCATCAGTAAAAAAGATGACCACAGGTATGGTGTCCTGAGATCTGTTTATAATTCTGCTTTTGTTCATGAATAGACTATTGTGTGAATTCGCCCACGAATACATATCCTCCTAGAAAGCCAAGTATTGTGTCAAGACTCCTCTTATATGCACGCTTTGTAAATTTTAATTAATCCATCTGGATGGCTGCGACAGTTTAACTTCGCCATTACTTTGATTCAGATTATAAGGATAGAAGGCTCTTGCTGCCTATGTTAATCCTTGCGATATATGTCTCTGCAAAGATCCAGTTTCTCTTTGAAAGCGCTCACCGATATAGTTGTTACCACTGGATCAGGTAAGGAGTTCCAGTCGTTGACGACTCTCACACATACTTTATTCGACCTCGGTTTGAGCACTTTCTTGTGGTAACCTCCTAGTTAATATGTATCACATAACATTTTCTATCTTAATAACACCTTGATTGTTTGGTTAGGTCAAAGTACTTTAGCTTAGCCTTGAAAAAAGCAATTCAAATGTAAACCAAGTTTAGTAACATACATTCTGACAATAGTAACAATAAGTCCTGTTGACCTTGAAGATTTAATTTACCCCCTACTCTAACAACATCCAATGTCCGATCTGATGTCGTTTTGGCAGAAATTAAACGCCATGTACAAGGTCATTGATGGAGTGAGACGCTCAAAGGTCATTTTCGTCCATGTTAGTCGGCCATGTTGGATTGCAGTTCCGTTGCTGTTCGTTTACACATCGATTTTTCCGTTTATCCAGCAGTTATTCACAACTTATCTTGATGCACATTGTTCACAAATGTTGCGTTTCTCTTCATTATTGTTTCCGTTTCTGTTAAGATTAGTTATTTCGTTTGTTTCGAAAGTTTTTGCCACCAGGTCAGTGCATTGGTCTCATTGTAATTGTTTCATACGTTGCATTCATGCATGGTTTCAGTGTTTTAATTGTTTTTCAGCTATTAATGAATTAGTACTGTGTAGAAACCTTGGAGATTATACACGTGAACATGTTTGGGAAGCAGAAGCCATTGTTTCCAGTTCATTCTTGGTTGCCGTTATTGCTGCTGGCTCATTTGGTTACTTAATATGTAGGAATCTGGAAAAAAATGTCTCCCACGTTCATGTTTACAGCATGCAACAATCTACGAATGAATCCGGTGAAGAGAGCACCATCAGGGTTGATATTAGCAAAGTTTTCGAAGAACTAATTAAACCCAGAGAATTTAGAACCTGGTTTGAAGTTTAAAATGCTTTGGAGCTTTTCGACAAGGTGTCTGTTGTCAGCTAAAAAATCAGGTATATTGTGAGAGAATCAAGCAAGGGTGAGCCACATGTGAAGTATGAATGTGTGGTGTTTATATGTACTTTTGGAAGCAAAATTAGGAAGCAATCGGATATCCCTAAATGATTGTTAATGCCTAGTGTACTAGATCCAAACGCACGAACTAGGACTGCCTGTAGTAAACGCGGTGTTAACAACCATTTTATTTGTTTCAAAAGGATTTGAAAAGCGGCTAACGTACGATTATCTGGTGAGTTTTCGGTAAGAATTTCACTAGCAAGAATAACGTTTCAAGTTTACAACCGTCTGAGAAGCTGATTATTAATCGGGGTGAAAAAATTGGCTGGTTACAAATTGCTTGTTTCAGTTCAAATAATGAAATTCCTATTTTTCGGATGCTTGTGATTTCTCCGTGGTTATAAACACGGTTGCCCATGATTTATAAGAGAACTTTAAATAAATTTTCTTTGAACCAGTGGTCTTCTTTTTCTTGGCGAAGCATCTATTGAGACGATTAGGTAGCAAAGTAGAATGTTTTGTGATTGAGAATCGTAGTCGTTGAGTTTCGGATTTATATCGCGCATCTAATTGCTATAACCCTATGAATAAAGCTTTTTCCTCATGGTGCATTATGATGTCTAGAAACCATAAGCACACTGCCTTCGATAAATTTGTTTTTACTTTTTAAATGACAGCAAATAGTGAGTCATTTGAGGCGATAGGATAAATACCTCTAAACGCTTTCGTGGAGAGATTAGGATATGTTTATTTTCTCGACTAGGAGACGATCTTTTTACCCAGAAAGCTCTCAGGATGTCCGCTTTTACTTTGTAATTCAAAGATAACGTTGAGTTGCTCACTTAGGTAGTAGCAAGGGGGTAGCTTTAGGTAATGCGTCATAGAAGTAAGCAGTGTATGTCTGTTGTGTCTAAATATATTAAACGTTGTAAAGCCGGTCAAATCGTAGTTCTCAAATATGAGTTAGTTTTTTAAATAATGAGTGTACCGTGGTAGCGTTTGTGCTCGAAACGTCATCAGTTAATATAACTTTACAACACTGTCTGATTTATCAAAATAAAATCTTATCCATAATGGAGTTATACTCTACCACAGTGCCCAAGTTTTATACTTATATCAGCGTTTACCTTGGTTTGCATACCTAACTCATGCATGCGTGTGATATACATTTAAGGCTAACACGCTGTTTGATGAATTAGTCCGAGATACTTAAAGTCAGACTTGAGCTCTATATCACTGTTATCAATTTTGCAACGGTCATAGGAATTAACAGCTTCACCTGACTTTCTCTTACATCGAAAACTGAAATTGACAATCTGACATTTGGAAGGATTTAGTTTAAAAGCATTTTCTGACTACTAATAGAGAGTTGTTCATATTAGTACAGGGTAGATGCGAATTAAAAGACACCGGAATAGTTAGTCCGCGCACTTGACATATTTCATTTCATATGCGTATGTACATTAAGTTCGTCAAACAAAAATACAATTGGTACTGGACGATTATAATGGAGAAAATGTTGTGATGCAAGACTGCAGGTGCATCTAAATTACTTCTACTGTGTTTATAGGCGAATTATTTGAGTTCGTTAAAGGCTTTAAGTGAAGGTTGAAGATTAAGTAAGAGTAACTTTTCCATAGCTTTTAAAAAAGGGGAGGTAATAGCAATAGGTCAAAATTTAAAACATGTTCCATTAGACGACTTAGGTACAGGTACAATTTTAAAGTCCTTCCAAACGGCTGGCACAACATTTCTGGAAAAAGATTCATTAAATATGTGAGAGGATATCTGTACATTTTTGAAGAATAAGGCTAGGCAAACAATCTGGAACTACAAGAAGGGTTCAACGACTGGTGATATTTTAGAACGTCATTTAATAATAATAATGATTTACTTTATTCCAAAAACAGTACTTGTGATACAGAATGGAAATTTCAGCATTAATCACAAAATTGCATCTAATTTCCTCAATTATAAATAAAATTAATCACACAGAAAATTTTTCTACATTTACAATAGGGTTAATATAAAAAAATAAAAAACATGCAGCATATAAAATGGAAATAATAATAATGATAGCAGCTAAGGTAATGATAATAATACAAGTGGAAATTGCCGTGGGCTTGTTTCACACAGTATTGTCGATGCGGTATACAAATCCTTGCATGATCGAAAATATTGAATATGATGTTCTCTTTACATGATATGGTGAGGGGAAAAACAAAGATTACAGCAGTCATAGAGATAAGTTGGTGTTTGCAGTTATGAAAGTGAAAACAGAATCAACAGGACCATAAATATAATAGAAATAATAAAAGTAAAACTTGAAGGTATATAAAGATGGATGGAGGAGATTGTTTATTTTGAAATAATAGAGAAGATTTGTAGCTCGGGTGGATGATTTGCAATTAAAAGTGTTCTCTGAAGAAGAAATTTAAATCAATTCACTCTGTGCTAAATATGGCGCTGAAGACGTTGTCCGGAAGGACGACGAAAGCTTCGCGACTAAACCAACCAGCTCAGAGAACACTTTTAATTGCAGATTGTTTATTTACTAGATGAAAAAAGGTTTGTATTGAAACCAAGGAAGCAACTCTCATTAACACTTTTGACACCAGAAACCTTGGTATTTGTGGGAGAATGTATGAATGCCTTGTTTACCGTACACACATCAAATGAATAGGATATACTGTTGTAATACTGGAGGTAATCAGATGCATAAATGCGTAAGTTATTTAATATTCATAAAGTAGATATGCAAACACCGCAGTTTTTGATTATAGAAGCACCTACATCGGAAGAACAGAGAGAAGGGTTATTGTCCGCATTTCTGAACACATACCAAAGAACCTGAAACTGAAAGGTCCACAAGTATTAAACAGTGCAATTGCGCGTCATCTATTAGACACTGGTCATAATGTAGACAACTTGAAGTCATTCAAAATAATCCACAAGCAAAAGAAACCTAACTTGCTACGCTTTCCTGAAGCAATTGCTATCAGACGACTTGAACCAAATCTATGTACTCAGAAAGAGACGGTGGTGAATCTTGCACTGCCTTGGTGAAAAAATATATACAACAGCTTGTTTGTTTTTGTTTCCAAGCCTAATTGCCTAATTATTCCATAAATATTTATAAACCGTCAAATATTGATCACAATTCATTTGAATTATTCTAGTCAGTTGTTTGTAACTAGCTAAATCATTCCGGACTAATGTTACTTTTACTTCCTACCAATTACTCCATGTGATCGTGGAAAATTATGTTCAAATCTTCAATGTAATGTAATTTATATTTTTCATCGTTCAGGTTGTAACCAGTTGAGAAGAATCCTCGAAATAATAAAAGATGAGCTCACATTATCCTGGTACAATAGTTGTTCTTGCTTTGTTCAAGTTTATTGATGGGAAGAATTGCATGAGATTATAGAAATGATGGATATTAGATAACATCACATGATTCAACGGCATATTAGAAATAGATGAAAATTATTTCTTTGCTCACTATCAAGTCAACAGTCTATTTGACGATGTCACTGCATATTAAAAGATTAGTGAAGTAGCTGTCAAGCCTAAGTCATTAAATTTACTTGTACTTCATACTTGGTGTTTAACAGTGTACATAATTGCAACTGGCTAGATAAGGCGATTTTAGCGTATCGAACAGTACAGAATTATTATTTAAATTGCTAAATTTTACTTAGTTTTTACAATGTGCTACTGTATAGAAACAGACACGAAATCTTACGAAGGGCTAAAGTAACAGTCTCATAATACTATAGTAAATCTCCATCCCTCTAACTAAGCTTAACATGCATTGATCCGAATTCACTTATTACAAAAGCACATAGTATAGCGACGCACTGAAAAAGTCTAGAGGAAGTAGAATTGAAGAGTATATTAAACATTTCATTAATTTACAAAAGAAAATCCCGATGAAGAGTATTAACGTTAGTTTGTCCGGATGATATTTCCGCTGGTTTCATATTCGACAACTTCCGTATACCTGAAAAAAATAAAGCACATGTAAGGACTAGCACAACATGAATTTATGAAAGATAATTCTACATATTAGCACACACTATGAATACACTGATTCTGTTAATACTAAGTAATATCTCATGCAAATAAATGTATTTGTAGTTTACAGCTGGTTTTTATATTGACACTATAAGCATCAATAGACCTCATATGTTTACCAGTATTAAAGGATTAAAAATATCAAGACAATCTTTGA